ATGGACAATTAAAATCAAAACTTTACAAAGTCTACTGCCTGTTTTTACATTTACTCAAAATTGTATATAATTATCTTTGCTATTTTTCTTTATTTTCTTTACAATAAAATACCATAAACAGCATTACTTACCTTGAACTTTTAAATATGTTCCACTTAAGATGATTGTCTTTCCATCAGTCTGTTTCTCTCCGCAGAAATAAAGCGCAGAGTCAGAAGAATTCACTTGTTTGATCTCAAGAAATAACACAGAGGTGTTGGATGTCATGTGAAATTTGCTTTTTTTAAATCCATCACAGAAAGAAACGTTGCTATCAGAGCTGGACATAGCTGAGATGCAGCTGGCATTGGGACTGCTGGCCATTTTAAACCAAAATATGTGGGAGCGATATCTGCTGATATTGGAGCACTTCAGTGTGACTTCTTGACCAGGCTGAACCTCCGCTGTGTAAAACTGTGTGACCGAGGAAGAGATCCAACCTGAAACAAGCAAATATTCCTAAATGTCAAACTCCACACAAACCCAACAATGCCTATGAGTAAAGTTGGCTACAAGATTCAAATCACTTGGATTGTGGTACAGATTTAACCATTGTGTGAGAAAATAGTGAAACGTGTACTTACTCATGGTGCAGAATAAAACTGGCATCAAGGTAAAGTTCACCATTGTGTGTACCACCACTACTGCAATGTTTGTAAGTGAACTGTGCTCCAGTAAAAGCAATCTCTGCATAAAGAGGCGGGCTGTTCTTTTATATGTACAGCTGCTTTGACTGAGAGTGCCAGTGCTTTTAGACGAATAGCTGCAAACTGAAAGCTGTAACAAGAACAGAATATCAGTATTTTAGATTATCTAGCTTTTACACAAATTTGGACATCTACAAAAGATGAGTCACTGTATAATTTTATACAGTGTTATATAGCTGTGCCTTTACCATGAAATATCCAACATGTTTTAAAATAAAAGTTTATGTGTTTACATCTTTACGTCTTTGCAACGATCTTTAACCACAGATATGTCAGCATAAGACAAATACTCCTGATATTAATAATTAAGTCAAAGTTCTCTGTTGATTTTGAAACTCATAACATGGCATAAAGTAAACTACTGACCACACAGTCAATACAATCTTCATGTTATAGTTGAACATGTTCAAATAAAGCACATACAATTCTTAAAGGGGAAAGTCTACTGTTTACTTAGTAACTAATAAACAGTTACTTGTGTGGTGATGTTAACATTAATCATACATTATTAAGGGAGTACTTAAAATGCAAACTTCTATGAATGTGCACAATGTGCAAATTAATGACATGATCAGAAAAAGCAGCAGAAACCTTACCTGGCCAATGATAACTACTGGAATAGTCTTAGCAAGACTAGGGTTCACAACGGCATGCTAGTCTGGAACCTTCACCTGGTGTGGTTTTAGTGTGTGATAACATCTTGAAATGTGTAACCAGGAGTAAATGCTTTGATATGAGATTGCGTAAGTTTCACCATGCTAGAGCAGCGAGTAGTGATGTCAGCAAGTTTTAAATCAGTTAAGTGTGACCAACAGTATTTACCACGCGGATCTGAACTGATCTATGTTTGTCTAGCACATGGAGATGCACAGTCTGAGCAGCTCGTCCAAGTAAACTGACTGAATAAGTTTCCGCTGTCTTAACAAATTAATAGCCTTTAAATGTGGAGCTCCTTACTGAACACGAAGAGCCTCACTGTCAGGTCAATTGTGACTTACAGCACACTACTACTCTCGCCTAGTGACCGTAGGCAAGAGTAGAGATGTACATCAACTAGGAAATTGGCAGCTTTCCATTGATGCTCACCTCTTTCTTCACTGCAAAGCACTGATACATCGTCTCTGCCTTCTCCAAGTCCACAAAGCACTTGTATATTGATTAGGCAAATCAATGCAGACATAACTCAAACACGTCCACTAAATCTTCCACTCCCCTCTTGTTCATCTGTGAACAAGAACGAGATACAGAAATCCTCCATTTAAGGAAGCAACTCGTCCCTGACCTGAAGTGGACTCTTTTCTAGCTGAGAACCATGGCCATCAAGTTGGAGGTGCTAGTCCTCATTCCTGCTGCTTCACACTTGACTGCGACACTGAAGATGTTGGCTACTGAACGCAACCCGATTATCTGCAAAAAGCTGAGACGAGATCAGAAAAGCCGTCTGTCACTTGGCTCAATCTAGAAATACTGTCCATAAAAATTATGGATAGAATAACAAAGGGCAGCCCAATTGGAGCTAATCCAGTTTACTATCGGCAATGCAGGTCAGACTCTTTTTGCAGTTGTAAAGGGACTGAATGGCTCGTAGCAATGGTATCCATACTTCTAAAAGACCCTTCACAGCATTGCCTGACAGATAGAGTCAACTGCCTTCTCCAAGTCCACAAAGCACTTGTAGATTGATCAGGCAAATTGCTAGGCACCTCTGAATTTCTTCGATAGGCTAAAGAGCTGCTCCAGCAGACTCCTCTTCAGTACTCTGGTGCAGATCTTTCCAGGGAAGTTGAGCAGTTTGAAGCCATTATAATAGGAGCACACCCTCCAGTCACCACTCTTAAAGATGGGAATGCCAATACACAGGCACTGAATCTGATCTCAACACATTGGTGCAAAGGCATACCAATCAAAACACTCCCAGAGCCTTAAGAAACTCAGGAGCGAATTTCATCCGCCCTAAGGAATGCAATTTTAAATGTGTTTATTTATTACTTATATTACGTACTTTTTGAATTATTGTTTTAGCCATGTGATCTTTCTTTTTGCAGAATAATAAAAAATTGGTAGTTAACATTATTTGAGTATGATACAGGTTTCCAATACAACTGTATTGGAAAAGTCGTGCATTTCACAGAAGACCTGCATCTGACACGTTTATGTTATCAATCACTGTTAAGGCGTTAAAGCCTGGAGCAGGGTAAGTAGTTTACCATGAAGATCTAAAAGTTTCACAACGCTTTCACAAGTTTGCAAGTTGTAGTTGTAGATGTTTATACACTATGTAGATGAAATTGCTTTAAGTCACATAGAAGTGTAAAGAAGTGTCACAACTGTCAAAATTCAACCGTTCAAGAGCGGGCTTTTATGTGTCTTTCATTTAAAAGTACAACAATCAAGATTTTTTAAATGGACTGAATATTTTATTCAGGCATGCAGCACATTGACATTACAATAAAACAAAAAAACAACTTATTTCTAGGCCCTTTTAAATCTAAAAAAAAAAAAAAAAAAAAAAGTACCTGTTTAAACTCTGTGCAAACAGGTTACTACTGAGCTATTCTCAGGCCTCACTGTGATGTCATCTCTTCCTGTCAAACAAGCCTCACTACCTCACTAAACCCTCGACAGCTGCATATTCTCACAATACAGTAGGCCCTAAACAGATATCAGCTTCTTCAAACACAAATCTTATTGCAAAAGAAAAGTAAAAGTAAAAAATCCACCCACAGGTCTCTCACAAAGAGCAGAATAAAAAGGCATCAGTTCAACTTTGAGATGCAGATCTGGTGGCTGCATACACAACATTAGCCTGTGGCTCTCTTCTTCGTGGTTTTTGTCCAAATGTCACTGTGGCATAGTTCACATTATCAGAGGCCGGATCCTGTAAGGTATAAAAAGTCATGATGTGGAGTTTGAGAGAAAATGTCATGTGTGGCTGTTTGGCAGGCAGGATGAAGGATCCAAATGCAGGACTCACAAGAAGCCAAGGAGTGAACTCAGGGAGCAGGGCTCTACACTACTACACTTTTTATAAAATAAAAAGAAAGTCAAAATTAAAAGTGCCCCAAAGGCTTCGAACTAAACATCTCAGTATCTGAACATCTTACCTTGGGCATGGGCATCTGAGAGGTTCCGCCCTTGACTAGCTCTGATTGGTTTAGACCACGATATGGGCATAATGTTGTCTGCTGCTGGCCACACAGAGACTTTAAGAGCTGCGGAGACTTTTTTTTACTCAAATGGCTGGTTGCACTGGTGTGACCTAGGATTTTTTTGTGCAGAACATTGGCACACTGGCGGAATGTGCAGGTGCCGCTATCCACTATTTGATTATTGTGGGAATACCCTACGTCATTTCCCCTTTCTGCGTATGTGTGCAGAGACACATGCGTGACACACAAATCGATCGAACAGCAGCAGCGTGGAGTCAGTACTGCGGCACTTCAGCGGCACGTTCAGCTTCTCTAAGCAGCACCTTCATGATTGGTTTAGGCCAGGGGTGGGCAATCTCAGTCCACGAGGGCCGGTGTCCCTGCAGATGTGTCCTCGAACCAACACAGCTGATTTAAATGGCTAAATTAGCTCCTCAACATGTCCTGAAGTTCTCCAGAGGCCTGGTAACGAACTAATCATGTGATTCAGGTGTGTTGACCCAAGGTGAGATCTAAAACCTGCAGGGACACCGGCCCTTGAGGCCTGGAGTTGCCCACCCCTGGTTTAGGCCATGATATGGGCATAATGTTGTCTGCTGTTGGCCACACAGAGACTTTCAGATTTGCTGAGAATTTTTATTTTTTTTACTTGAACGGCTGGTTGAGTAGGATATTTTTTAGTCACACCACTGAGAAATTTGGTCGCAAACTAATTTATCAATTGGTTGCACTCTAGAGTCCTGGGGAGGCAGCTTTAATGCTGTGTCGACAAACTCAAATAATTCAAACCGGGGACAATAAAATAAAACCTAAACACTGGAAACAGAAAACCGAGAAAACTAAAGAACTATGAAAACACAGGGTTTAAATACAGTAGGGGGTAATGAGGGAATGGGAAACAGGAGGGAAACACAGCTGGGACTAAACAAGACGGGGGGAGGAAGCAAGCTCAAAAACACTGAACACAGGACAGAAGACCGTCAAAGTAAAACAGGAAATGCAAAATAAGCACGGAGACGCAGACTTGACAAGGAGTGACTGACAGAGAAGAACGAGCAAACACAGAGCAGAGAGATAAAAGTAACTAAAGATGAAAGGTGGGACACAGGGAAGGCAAGGTAACAGAAACCTAAGGACTAATGCTAAGAATATAACAATGAGAATCACAAACATGAAAACCAACAAATCCAAACATATCTAATCAAAAATACAACAGATCCCCAAAGTCAGTCTTTCACTTCTATATATATAAATATAAAATAGAAGGAAACACTGAAGCTGGACTCACCTCACCCTGCTGTGAATATTGTTCTTCACCATCAGCTTAGTGAGACACAGAACACATCTGGTCAGATAACTAGCAGCTATAAAATATTCAGTGGCACTTTCTATGCTGGTTTCCTTTTGTCTAGGTTTAAATTAATGACCAGGGGTCAGTTATCACACTTTGATAAACTACAGCAGGTAAGCATTAAACTGTCATTGGTTTTCATTAATGTTCCACAACGGAGCTGCATGATTTTACTCAATTTCACAGTGATGCAATCAGAGTTTTTTCACTCAAAACTGGAGTTTCATCATTGTTCTTCCAATTAACAGCTTATTATATTTCTTTAAATAATAAATACAGTTTTATAGCTTATACACTGCTATTACAAGACCACATTATTTGAATTATGTGAAAAATTTACCAATGTACGGTAGCCAGAGTAGTTTCTTGATTTTAATGACCAGCCCAATGACGACTGCTATGAGGAAAAAATTCAGAGCACCCAGGATCCCACACACCAGCTCCATTTTGTCATCTGACATTTATGTAACAAAAACAATTTAATCAGATAATTAAAAAAAACAACAACAACAATCTGTGACTTAACATTTGACCAACAATCGGAAGAATGTAAGAAATCTTACTTTGAGATTTGCTGTCATCAACAAACTCAATCCTGCCTTTTGAAATAAAGTATTATATAGTAGTATATGTTATTCAACAGCTTTGCATCATATTTTGTTGTGTAATTATGCCGTTTTTGCTTTGATAGAAAGAAAATTACAAAAATGTATAAATATGTTTTTATATGTAACAACAAAAATAATCTGGAGAAAGACTTAGATTAAAATTTTACCTTTAACCTTTAAATGTATCACTCTAAAAAGTGGTCTTGCATTTGCGTAAAATCCACAGAAATACAGTCCAGAGTCAGATACAGCCACATTTTTGATTTTGAGGAAAGTGGTCGAAATATTGGAACTCATTTCAAAGTGTCCACTTTCAAATTCCTCACAGTATGCAAGACTTTTATCATTGCTAAACATGACAGAGATACATTTTGGCTGGGCCCCGTTGCGCAGTCTGAACCAGAATGTTGCAGTATTACTTGTGGAAATGTTAGCGCACTGTAAGGTGACTTCTTCGCCTGGCTGGACCTCCACATTTTGAGAAACTGACATAGATATCCAGTCTGAAGAAAGCAGAGACGAGAAACAATTTACTTTCACTGAGCCCAAGGCTGCATAAACAATTCATCTGAATAAACATTAAAATAGTCTAGTTTATACAGTTTACATGTTCCGGACCAATACTCACTGAAGCTGCAGAGAAGTAAAGCTGTTATCAAGATAAAGGTCTTCATGTTGAATGACTGCAGCAAAGCAATGTGTACTAGTGAACTGTCCTCTGGTAAGTGCGTCTGATGTAAAGAAACTGTGTGTGTGTGTGTGTGTGTGTGTGTTTGTGTGTTTAACACCCCCACGTTGCTCATTCTGTATCTTTAATCAACCACATGAGTGCTTTCTGTAAAACAGAGGTCAAAGTTCAGAGTAGTGGTTTTATGTTTTATGTGACCATATTATTTGGAGCGTGTTTAAAACAGAACTGTTATAAAACTTAATAAAAGAAAATATATAGGGTGCTTAAGTAACAAATCAATAAAATTCTTTAAATTAAGTCTCAAACTTGGAAAAAAGTTCTCTGAACTTGCACGGTCCGGTTCACTAAGTGATGAGGCCTAGCAGATAGCTAGAGGCTATACCACTAGTGTATGTGCTTGCACAAATATCAATCAAAGCTGCTGCCACACCACTAACTTTAAAGCTTACCAGTGTCATCATGGATAAAAACAAAGTAACACAAACCCCCTCCTCCCAAAAATACCTGCAGAAATCAAAGCTGTTTCTGTAGGTAAGCTTAAAGACCCTCAATAGGCCATTAGCAATTTTTTGGCAATTTCCGATTGGATTTATTTAAACACCTCTGTTGTTCTGGTGTGACTTTAACATGTAAAAAAAAACCCGATACCGTCATACTTCCTCTGGTTGACACCTCACTGGTTATGCAGATAAAAATACTGTTTGCTACCACAGAGGGCATGTGAAGTTCAGATATATCTGTAATAACTGGAACCTTTAATAGGTTTTGAATTTTGTGTCGTTAAAATATTTATTATATAGCACAGACAGT